GCCCTAGCCGGTTGAGCTATAGGCGCTGAGCCCAAATGTTACCTTTTGAAAGAGATCTTTTCTTGCCACTTGATCTCCAAGTCACTCCGTTATATCATCCTGTTTCCTTTCTTCTTGGTACTTAACATTCCCTGGAAATAATTTATTTTCTTTGTTAGGAATACTTTATATTCATGGGAATGTAAAGCCCATAAGACCAGAAACAGTGTTTGTCTTACTAAATACTATCTTTCTGTGTCTGAAAGAGCGCCTGGCACGGAGTATGCCTCCAATAATTATTTGTTATAAGAATAAATGAAACGTGGCAGATCATTTTTGAGCACTAACTAGGGTATGGTCTTCCCACTGGCTGCCTCCCTGCCAGCAGTTCAGGGGGCTTATCTGGAATCTCCACATTATGAGAGCCCTCAGGAATTGCAGTTCCTACCATTCAGGTTTTGCCCTTAGTAGGCACTCAGTTAATACATGTCAAATCAATCACTCTGCCTATGAACCTTCCAGACAATGTCTGTGCACTAGTGGTGATCAAGAAACTTCATTTAGAGGATCTCAACTTAAGCCAGAAGATTGGAAGCAGACAGCCATTGGAAGGTAAGAGTTCTGGGTATGAGGGCTCATGCCCCTTACTCTAGCACTTTGGGAGGCCAAGGCACGACAACTTGAGGCTACAAGTTCAAGACTAGCCTGGGCAACACACCAAGACCTCATCCCTACAAAAAACTTTAAGAGAAAAATAGCAAGCATGCACCCGTTGTCCCAGCTACTCAGGAGGCTGAGGTAGCAGGATCACTTGAGCCCAGGGGTTTGAGGCTGGAGTAATGATGATCAAGCCACTGTATTCTAGCCTGGGTAACAGAACAAGATCCTGCCTCGAAATAATTTAGAATAAAGGAAAGATAAGGGGAGTATGAAACAGTTGGAAGGATGAGAAGGTCACCCTAGGTCCACCATTAAGTATTTCCGTTTACCCTGTGCACTAGACACTGACTGGGAATCTGATCTTTCTGAGAGGTGTGGTGACAAATGTAATCTCTGCAACTGGACAGCCTGGGTTCAAATCACTCCTGGCAGGCAGTAGGACCCTGGCAAAGCACTTAGGTCCTCTGTAACTTGGGTTTCCTCATAAGTTTTTGTCCTGTTTTTAAAGACAGGGTCTCACTCTGCTATCTAGGCTGTAGTGTAATAGTAAGATAGCTAACAGTAACCTCGAACCCTTGGGCTCCAGCGATCTGCCCACCTCAGCCTCCCAAGCAACTAGGACTACTGGCTTGCACAACCATGCCTGTTGGATTTTTTTCTACCTTTTTTTTTTTTTT